GGAGGCTGGTATTGTGGGTTATCAGAGGGAGGTGATAGCATCTCTCTGGTGCATAAGAGTTGCAGCAGCATAAGAATGTAAGGAGACCATTTCAGCCATCAGTCAATTCCTTGGAGTTCTTAGGCTATATCCCTCATGGCAGTACTGAACTTTGGTTTTGGTAGGACAAGTTAAAGAAAAGAATGAGCATGGGAGGGGGGTTATTTAGTTGATTTTACTGTGATTTTGGAGAACTTTGACCAAAACCTATTGACATGGGCTTCTCATGGGGAATCAGGAGAAGGATTCAGCTCCAGCTGTAGGTGTCTGTGTGAGCTAAGTATCAAATCTCCAGCTATCTCAGTGGATATCTAGGTCTGGATTCAGGTACCTTTGGCTAGGTGTCTGGTGCCCCTTCAGTTCTGCTTGGCCTTCAGCTGCTGCTCCAGGGGAATGCTGATCAATATGGTCCTGTTGGATTAAGTCACTACAGTCAGTAGACATAGAGAGCAATTCGTCACATCCTGAAGCTCTTTACATTAACTGTATTGATTGCATCTCTTTTGACTGTTTTGGGGATTAGTATGCTCATACAAAGATACCTACATCTGAGTCATAGTAACAAACTGAATACTGCTCCAGGGATATAAAATACCATACTTGTGGGTGAAATCCTTACTCTGTTGACATGGGTAAGATTTAACTTCCATCAGAGTAGGACTTCACTTTCTGTGCTCTGTGCAGTACTTTGTACCCAAGCACTTTGCTCAGCTTGCAAATGCTGATACTTCTTTAATTAAAATTTCCTACAAGCTCTTAAGTTAACTCCTCTATCCATCTGTTATCCCACTAATATCCCAGATAATGTCTCACAGTAGCTCCCAAAGAGCCTGGGGGGAAAAAGTAACATCAGCATTTACAGTTGGGTAGTGAAGTACAATATAAGCATTAAACTTTTCTAAAGGCACCTACAAGTAAAGCATAGCACTGAGGCTCAAGTGCAACGGAGGTGTGAGCATACATCACACCGTACATCACTATGCAGTGCCTTATGGAAAATAGTAACTTAAACTTAAACAGAGGAAGTTCAGGTTAGATATAAGGAAGAAGTTCTTTACTGTGAGGGTGGTGAGGCACTGGAATGGGTTGCCCAAAGTGGTAAATGCTCCATCCCTGGCAGTGTTCCAGGCCAGGCTGGACAGAGCTTTGGGCAACATGGTCTAGTGTGAAGCATCCCTGCCCATGACAGGGGGGTTGGAACTAGATGATCTTAAGGTCCCTGCCAACCCAAACCATTATGTGATTCTATAACTTGGGTCTCAAAAGCAGTACAGCTGCCTGTGTTCCTGAAACAGTGTCCCTTGGTTTAGAGACAGCCCCATGTTAGTGCAGTTTCATTTCCCAGCATTGGAACAAGCTGTCTGGGTGCTTGCTGGGGTATTTCTGTACCCCAGAATGTAGAATGTGAGTGTGATTTAAATAGACAATATATTCACCAGCTATCTGTAAGATGCTTTTTAATAATGTGCTCTGCTATTTTTTTTGGTGATATATCCTGTTTTGAGGAGCTTTTTTCCTGTTTGTGAGCTAAGAAATTGTGCCAGAATAACTGAGAGCACTCCAAAGACTGGAAATGAATATATGTGAAAGAACAGCTCGTTACTTGAATAAGTTTGCCTGAAGGGGGACTTTCTAAACTTTTAGTAAAATTCCATTCCCTTCCTTCATGTTAATTAAATTAAAGCTGGGGAATAGGGGAGCACAGCGTGGCAGTGTGATATTTCTGGGGCACAACTCAAGAAACAAAAAGTCATCTTTTAACCCCCTTGGGTTGTCTGTCTTTTTATTGAACGCAGTGAGATTTCATGTGCAATAATGAACCAGTTTTATGCAAAACTTTCCAGTACTACCAAAAGATATCAGGAACATGTTGACAGGAAGCAAAAGTTGTGCAATCTCTGCAAAAGTCCATGACTCAATCTCTGCTCTGTTCGTCGCTGCGCTGTTTGATACAGCATCAGAAGGTTCCTTTCTTCCACTGACTTGAATAAAAGAAGGATCGATTCCTAAATGAGTATTGCCATTAAGGCATCAGAGCCACATTTTTGTTAGTTATAAATTATCCCCATAGTAAAATGGGATTAAATAGTGCGTGTTTATGACATCCAACAAAATCTTCCAGGGAGATCATGTTATCCTTGGAATGAGTCTTTCCGGGCAGTCTTGTAGAGTGGGTTAACACAGTAGCAATATTTCTCCAGCTTTTTCCCCATTTCTCTTTCTGACACTTGGAAGTGGTGACTTCTGGCTGTTCTGTACTGGACCACATGCAGGCACAGCAGGAGGCTCTTGGCTTCTCTGACTGCATTTGCTGTCCAAACAACTGTTCCTCACTCCCTCAGAGGAAGACACAGTGGGCAGATAGAAATATTTTGCAGGCCAGATGGGGCTAATGGGCCACAAACTGGAGCAATCTGACCAAAACACATATTTAATTGAAGGTTGTTTCTTGCATTTCTGACATAGAATTATGCACCATGCTTGAGTGGTTTGTGGTGACCAGATGTAGTTTTGCATGTTTCAGCTCTGATGCTGTCAGTGGTATTCAGTGGCACACAGGCTTTCCAGGAATTGCTTAGTCCTTTTGAGATAAACATACATACTTCAGATAGTCCTTGAGTAGGCTTAAGTGTAGTCCTGCTAAGTGGCAACCCAACAGTATATAACTATTGTCACATCCACTGTAGTAATTTCTGGCAAAATCTTGCTAGTTTGTTTTATATTGTTTGCTCGTGTTTTTCACCCGAAATGTTGGCTTTAAGTTTGTATATCCAAATGAAAGTTAGTGCTGCTTGTGCAAAATGCAAGGAATTTCCTTCACAGGCCTGTGCTTATGCCCTTCATACCATTAGGAGTGATTCTCCAGATTTCACCAGCTAGGCAGGATCTGATGAGGGTAGCACATGGATAACAGGTATGCCAGGAATGACAGTGGACTTTACTTGCTGCTGTTTGTTATCTAGCTGTTTTTCTTTTTACACTGCACTGATATCCCAAAATTAGATCTCTGTGGAGATACGCATCCGAGACCCATAACGTTTGTGGACTTCTCTCAAAATGTCCCCTGGACCAGAATCGTTTCAGAGTAATGACCTGCTTCTCTACATTTCTCCTGTTGCTTATTTAAATACGAGATACTGCTTTACTTCCTCAGTTGAATGACAGTGCAACATTCAAAAGATCTCCTAAATGAGTGACTCCAGCAGTGGCATCATTTCATTATTGGAAAATAAAACTCGTGTTAAGCAAATAGGGTATAAAGTGTCATGTAACAGGAAATATTTAATGAGAAGATACTTAACATTCTGTTTGTATTGTATGCACATGTCCAGTTAAGTTTTTCTTGGCCCCATTGTGCAGAAGAACTAATCTGACCTAAGTAAGGAGTGAATTTGTTTTTCAAGTGTTCTCATCATGTTGGAAGTAACATACCTGATGTTGAAAAGCTTTGCGAATCTCCAAGAATATGCTGTAGTAACGCCAGGATATAAAGACAGAAATAATAATGAGCATACTTAGGCTGCAGTTTGCTTAGTTAGAAATATCACGGATGAATTCTGGTTGCTTAAAGACAACTACTGCAGCTCTCCCGGTACCTCCTGTTGATGCTGTGGCTGGCCCAGTGTCTCCTTCCTTTCTTTCCAGGTAGGACACCTAGAGCCGCAAAAGGATTTTATAAGATAGGGCATAGTTAAGGGTCAGCCTTTTTGCCTCCAGATCCATGAGAAAGTAGGTACTTATAAGGCACTGTAGAAGAAGGAGACTAGTATATGCAGCATCTAGAGGTCAGCGATAACAGAGGTCTGGAAGAAATTTCCTAGATAGGACCATATTGGCCCAAGACACCCAAACAAGAAGTTTTGACTAGTAAGATGCCAAGGGTCAGACCACAAAACTAAATGAAATGAGATCAGACTGGGATCTTGAATTGTGGCTAAGATCCAGCCCACAAAAAGAAAGAATCAATGAGGACTGGAAGACTTTGTCTGGGGAAAGAGACATCTCTGCCTTTAATTCTCTGACTGATGTGATAAAGGAGAAGCTTATGCCCTTTCATTGGATGTAGTTGTGTAATAGTACCAGTATATGTGTATATAAAACTAATATATGTTGGAGCTTTCTTGTGCTGTCTGGTCAGACGTTGATCTCAATCAGCCTAGCTGCAAGCAAATACCTGGTCACTGAGCTGCTGGGCACTGGTCCCAACACACTTTGCTGTATTCACCAGTTACCTAAATTGTGGTAATCCAGTGAGCCACTTGTACACAGAATGGACCTTGACTAAATGTACTGTTCCAGAAATGGGTTGGAAATGGGGCTCAGTCTCCTAAATGATCTTTAAAAAGGCGGACAAAATTGTTACAATAATGAGAGGCATGAGTCAAAATTTTTGGACCTGAAATGAAGGAGTAGATGTTAATTTGTTCCTCTTGCACATTGCAGGACAGGTATGTGTCACTTCTTATTTATTCCCTGGGTGCCTTTGAAAAGCATTATAAGAAGCCAGGAGAAATAGATTTTTTTAACCCTTTGTCCATCTCAGCTGCTTCTGATGTTCAAGAGGTGAACCTCTTAGGCAGGAGTAGCCACACTCTTGTTCTTCCTCCGTATGAGCCACCAAGTTGTTATTGTTTCCAGTGCAGCACTTTCTTTGTCCTTTAATACTAGACACAAAGGGCAGTTATAATTTAGTCACCTCCACTTGTTTGATTAAAAAATTCGCTTTTCTAGTCATGGAATATGCCAAGAGATTTTATATAACAGTTTTTCATACCACCTGTACATTGGTTTCTCTTCACATAAAGCTTTCCAGGAAAAAGATACTCACATTCTGCATCCCAAGACTAATAAGAAGTGGAAACCAATGCTTTGTAGGATTTTAATTCCAGCTCACTTTCCTTTCGTCTCTCTGACTTTAGCAGCTTTCTCCAAAACTGTTCTTTCTGGGTTTTTTTCTGCAGACTGTATGTGGATGGACCTTTTGGAAGCCCCTTTGAGGAATCCCTGAACTACGAGGTCAGCCTCTGTGTGGCTGGAGGTATTGGAGTTACACCATTTGCATCAGTACTCAACACACTGCTGTAAGTGAGCTTAAGCGTCTTAAAGACATTTCCCCTCAATTTACTATAGTAGTTCATGTCAAAAAGACTGTCACAGTATTTAAAAACTCCCATTAGCGTGAGTGAATGATTCCTTGGAGATTGACAGAGGACTGGGATGTCCCTCGAAAAGCATAAATCACATCTTACAGGCTGCGTAACCCAAAGAGTTGTGGCCGAGTTGTGCCAGTAATCCACCTGAACTAGAAGAGTGTCACTAGCCTTCATATCGTGGGACCAGGCTAGCCCATAATGTGGCCACAGCTAGCCTTGTTCCCCTAGTCCCAGATTAGATGAGGCTACGGACTATGGTAGTGAGGTTTTGAGAGTCAGGAAGTTGTGACAGTCTTTCTTCTGGGAATGCATGGCCAGCCTTCCTGGTCTGTTTGACTTCCGTAAATGTGTAAGCTTAGGTTTTAAAGGAAAGGGATCAACTTGGATTCAGATTCCATTCAGATGTTTAACTCCATTTAACAAGTTTAAATTTTAGATATGCCTTTTTCCTAAGCCTTTGACATTCTATTCAGACCAGACCTTTCGCCTCTTGTTTTTATGACACTGGAAACATGATTCCCACCAAATCCTAAGCTGTGTGAAACAGGCTTGCTTTTATGATTGCATTGATTGTTTTATCAATTTTATTTTTGCTAGAGCATTGGCTGGGAGCTCCAGTCACAGGTTAAGCACCCATGTTTCATAGGCACTGTGTAAACAGCCATCCAAAACTTGCCTGGAGTGTTGAAAGACTAGCTGGCTTTGTGAGGGTGTTACAATGCACAGCTGAAGCACTTGTTCCAAGAAGAACATGCCAATGGCCAGCTCTAACTCCAAAGTGAAGTTAAAGCCTGGAATTTAGATGCTGTGCGCATTCTTCTGTCCTTGATCTGGGCTGGTCCTGACAGTGCTTAGTGCTTCTGAAAATTAGCAGCCCCACATGTCTCATAGAGCTGCAGTCCCTGAAGACCATCTCGGGCTCCCTCATTTTCTTTGCCTGAGAGTGTATTGATCATCCTCTCAGAAAGAGGGTACATTTTGCTGAAGGCCTGGGGCCTAGGTGGATAAGATGACCGTTTCCCTTGTGATGGGTTATTCTTGACAAGTCTTCAACGAAAACATCACAGAGCATAGTGATGGGCCAGCAGCAGGTAATGAGATGTTTGCCTCTACCAGTGTGTTACCAGAGGCTGCAGGAACTTGCACAGACATTGCCATAGAAGGTCAGTGTCCAAAAGCTGTCCAAAAGCTTTTGCAAAGTCCATTTATCTGGATAAAGACATAAATTGGCTTCCAAGCAGCCAATCCCATAACCTGCCTTTGTAGCCAATCTTCCCCTTCTGCACTGTACAATATGCAGGGGAATCATTATGTGATTCTGGGAAAGAAGTAACAGTCTTAGCCTGCTTCTCTTCTCAGTATTTAAACATCAACAGAGCACTGGTTTAGTGGATGATCTGCCTGTTGTCTTTGCCCTGGCTTAGAAGCAGATTTTGGCAGGTGTGAATATGCAAACTGCGTTATGATGCCAGCACTGCAGAGCAGCAGGACCAGTGTGGAGACCAGAGCAGCAGTGACCAGTCAAGGACAGGCAGGTCTAAAGGAGACATCAGCAGCCTGTTGACACAGTCATTTGTTTCCTGCTCAGTTGGGTTCCTGTTGTATGCACAGAGTTTAATTCCTGCTCCTGCCCTTCCCTCCACTTAACTGTTGAACCCTATGCCCTAGTCTTAAGAAAATAGAACTTGCATTAAGGAAAGCTTGTGGCTTTCATGCAGAAGTGTCTGTTAATAATGGCTATTATTATGAGCAGTGACAACATAGACACACACTGGGAGTGTTATATACATATGGATTTGTTTATAATGCGGGATTGCACCTTTATTGCATAATATGTCCTGCTGGAGGTAGACCCAAGTGCATGTGTCTGAAGTGGCACTTTAAATCTTAAGGTTTGCAGTCCAGCTTCTTTTTCCAGCTGCAATGTTTCGTCCTCGAGCGGTGTTTTGTTAGTGAATTACAGCATTTCAATACAAAATGCCTCGCATTTTTCTCTTTTTTTTTTTTTATCCTTTTTATGCTGAAAGGCACTTATTTTCCTTGCTACTGCTCATAGTTATCTTGTCACAGCTGACCAGATTGTGACCCTTCCTAAGGGATTGTCTTAGTATAGGCAGTCAGAAGAAGAGAGAGGAAATCCTGCTCTGCAGGTCAACAGTTTACAAATAAAAAAGCTGAAATCAGGACTTGAAAGACACTCTATTCCTCAGTCTTAAAGAACTCTTTTTTCCCTTTGTGGGGAGCTGACATGAAAGCTGAGTTCTCAGGCTCTCCATGGTGCTCAGAATGTCTCCATCCTTGCTCCTCAGGCTTACAGTGGAGATTAGAGGTATGGGGAGGTAAGACAGCGATTGGAGCCATCACTTACATAGATCCATTAATACCATACCTTGACTGGATATGCTCGCAACATTAGAGTTTGAAATAATACACAAGGAGTATGGTGAGATATGTCATGAAACTTTTCAGCTGGGCTTGGCTCCTGGGACTAGCATTTGAAGTTGAAAGGATATGGCCTTATCTATCTGAAAACTATTTTAGGAGGAAAAGGAGGAAACCATCTGTGCACTGTTTCAGTGATCAGAACAACAGAAAACAGCATTAGGCAACTAAGAAGATACTTCCTGGATATTTGTGGTTCATTTGAACTCATCAATCATCAGGATTTTTTTTTCAGTTGTATTTTCTTTCTCTGTGCATTTCAATCCTACCCTTGCACTATATTTGTGTTTTATTTGAGTTAGACATCTGACGTGAGAGTCCTGTTTTTCCAAATGCAATGCCAGAATCTACCCATGGCTGCAGTTTACCCACCAGCATTTTCTAAGGACTGTAATACATCACACAGTTCCCTAACACAATGGAGCTCTGATTTAATTTGGTCTTTGTGATTTCACTACAGTATTAATTATAATCAACCAGAGCCTTTCAAATATAAAGGCAGAATTAAGTCCTGACATTACTGCGTGTGTCAATATTTTCCTCTTATGGGTCGCTTTGTAAACCTAATAAAGGATTGACATAATATACTGAAACTTAGAATGTCTGCTTTGCTTTGAAACAGAAGTTTGATGATGATTCATGAATCCATATTTGCTGCCTAAATCATCTGTATAGCTGACAACTTCCTAATGCAGAAACAGTATCTGTGAAGGGTGTTAGCCCTGTGCTAGAGATTTAATGTTCTCAGGATCATCCTTTGGTCATTTAAGTGTCGGATGTATCACAGGATGAAGAACAACTTAGCAGCTAGCATCTAATGGAAATTCATATTTCCAGTAATGAATATAAAGCATCTTAATTAGTGTTTCCTTTTGAAATGACAATTTTTAATTACCCAAACATTTTATTTTCAAGTGACGGCTGGAAATGCTACAAGCTCAGAAGACTCTACTTCATTTGGGTGTGCAGGGACATTGAGTCTTTCCGCTGGTTTGCAGATCTGCTCTGTATGTTGCATAACAAGGTAATGGGGAGAATACTGCTTGTAGGGACACTGACAGCTTAATAAATGCTAGGTATCTCCACACCATGCAACTAGCACGCTATAAAGACATCCTTCCTCAAAACAAGCACGCTCCTGCAGTACTTCTGCTTGGGATACCTAACTCAGGCTCCATTTATTTTTGTAGCTGCACACACCAGTTGAGTATCTGTCACCCATATTTCATTGCACAGCACTGCCCTGTACCAGTGGTCTGGGCAGTTACCTCTGAAATTTAGGAAATGGAAGAAGAAAGCTGGGGAGTTTGAGTGGCCTTTAGTCTTTTGGCTGATACACAGATTGAGAAAGGAGGGAGATTTACAATTTAAGAGCAGTGTAGCTTCCTAAGATAGTATTTTGTACACAGCATGATGTGCAACATTCTGGAGGTCACAAAGGGCTGCTGTGCAAGTATAACTTCTTCATTAAAAAGCTTACTTCACTGATGCTGAAACCCATGTGCCTTAGCATAGTGGGCACAAGTGACTTTATGCTTACATGAAGAGAAGGGATATTATTTCACTAGCTGTTTTTATCATCCTCCCAGCTTTGGCAGGAGAATCGACCAGACTATATAAATATCCAGCTGTACCTCAGTCAAACAGATGGAATACAGGTATGTGGCTAAATGCTGTTTGTAAACAGAACTAGAATTTGGGGTAGCAGACAATGCAAACTGTCAGTCAGAGGCAAAAGGGAATTACTGCAGATGGTAAAAACAGGAAATGAGGCCATAAACTCAAGTGACTGATTCATTACTAGGTCAAGAGAGCAAGTCCTTGCAGCATTAAGAGAATCTAGTCTAGGAGCAGTAACTTGATTAGGTGTGGGCAGAAATCCATATCTTCCTTTTCTAGAGAAGAGGTCCTTTCAGGCCAGGTCATGGACCAGACAGTTGGCCGTGTTTGATGGGAAATCTACATCATTTCTGGGCTAAGAATCAAAACGGAATAGTTCTTGGAGCTTACAAGCTCAAATTTTCCTTTCAAATAAATATTTTGAGAAAAACTAGCTATTTTTAAAAGCTTTGTATTTCTTTGCCACAAACATAGACAAAAGTTACAAATATCTTCATGTATGAGACTGGAAATTATACTGACCTGTCAATAGTCCTGTTTTACCAAGCCCAGAGCTGGGCTAGTTCTCCAACTCTTGGCATCTCCTGGAGCTATTTATGCTTAAGATCTTCATTTTACATTATTTAGCACGTGAGCCTAGGCCTCATTCTTTACCCTGCTGTGTCTGAAAGCTTTCTATTGACTGCAGTCAGCCCAAAACCAAACCTAACAATAACTACAAAACATGAAATGCAGTGAGAAACCATGCACAAAGGATCCTGATCTGCCTGGTATCAGGTGGAGATAGCATAGCATTCGCAGCTCTGGTAGGAACACTATCCAAAATCTAAATGATGTGATAGCTACAGCAGTTATGAACAGTGCCCCACAAATTTAATACCCTCAATTGACATATATCAGTTGAAACGGGGTGCTTGAAGATACCTAGTTCATGAACCTAGTATGTTCAACGCAGGACTGCATTGTGATGACACAGCAAAATTTAGTAATAGACAATTCAAAGCAAGTTTTCTAATACTGTGCATCAAGCAGCTATTGAATTTATTTAAGTCAACTTTGTTTGAAGTCTAAAGTAACTTTTCTTTTGTGGCTTTTGAACAAAACTGGCATGAACCATAATGCTGCTCCTGATTTCTCAAGTGGGAGTTAAACTCAACTCTCCATTGCTATACAGCAGTGTCTTCACTGATGTTAGCCCAAAGTGCTGACTACTACCAGAATTAGGGCAGTTTCACTTCATGCTCCCTTTGCTCAGAAGCAGCATGACTGTGTGACAACAGGGAGCCAAGCCCATCCTTCATCAAATGCCTCCTGAATATAAAAGGCAAATGGAGAATGAGTTAGCCAAGACACTGTTTGCATTGGTATGAGCACTCTTTCAGGTTGTTCAGCAGTGGAGTGAACGTGGGGCCCAGAGAAAATGTGAATTTTCCTTGCCTTTCTATCACATTAGGACAGAAAACCAAGGAAGGGCAGTGCCCTTCTATCCAGGGAGCAGTTTTGGGCTGCTTTCTGCTGTTACAGCAGCTCCAAACAGCTGGCAAACGACTCTTAGGGAGAAATGTAAGATTTCCCTTGTTAGTTTTTCAGACATAGTCATCTTAATAGTTACTTGTACGAAGTTAGAAAAAAAGACTTCAGACAGAAATATGAATTTTGCATCAGCAGTGTTTCTTCCAGCTTAGCATTAAAAGCCAATGAGGGAATGAATAATAGGAGTGTGGTTATTGTTTTATGGCTTAAATAAATTGGTTTAAAAGTAATGGGGAGATTAATGAGCAGCTGCATGAAGAACAATGTATAACGAACACCAACGAGAGCCATTGAGAAGGCAGTGAGCAGAGATACTGATGCGTGAAATGGCTGCAGTTTTAATCACAACTGTTTGATACTTGTGCTCAGGTTTTACACCTCAGCGATATGGTAAGTCAGCCAATGTCAGAAATGGGAGCCCTGGGTGACATGAGGCAATTTGCAGATCAGGCAGAATGGAAGTTTTTTCTGTTTCTTGCAGAAAATAATTGGTGAAAAATACCAAGCTTTAAACTCAAGGCTTTTGATCGGACGCCCCCGGTGGAAACTCCTTTTCAATGAAATAGCAAAGTGTAACAGGCGGTAAGTACCAGCCTGCTTGAAGGATGCCACAGTTTGGTTATCTTTTTCTATGCTTGCATGGAAGTATTTTGGGGTTTTATCTTAGAGTGTAATGTTTAAGCTGTTGATGTTGAAATTAGCTACTATTTGGCTGTGAGAGATACTGAAACTTTTGTGGTTTTTACACTCAGAACAGTTCATCTTTCCATGCAGCTACGTTGTTCAGTGGCCCAGAAAATCAAAGTAATAGATTTCCATCTCACTGCATGGAGATACGTTTTTGTCCATGGCAATATCCTCCTTGCAACATGTTCTGGTTTTGTAGATAAAGTTGCAATTTTTAAAACTGTTGATTTCTCCTACAGTTTTCGTGCTTTGTAGTGCTGGTTTACAAACAAAATGCACAAGGAAGAATTTGCCCTGTATTTTTTTTATTCAGAGGATATATTGTCTTTGGACATTCCAGGTACTTTTTTACTCCTTGTTAAGAGCTGGCAGTGCCTTTTTACTGTGCTAGGCAAACATACTGTGGTCTGAAACAAGACAGTTATAAACCAAAGAAGATATGCAGTTAGACTGTGGAATGGCTTTGTCCAGATCCAGCTTTGTTGGTTGAGTATTTAACCCCACCACCACCACACTGGCAGTTTTCTGCCTTAAAAGCTGATGTGATAGAAGGGATTATAGAATCATAGAATCATAGAATAGTTAGGGTTGGAAAGGACCTCAAGATCATCTAGTTCCAACCCCCCTGCCATGAGCAGGGACACCACACACTAAACTATGTCGTCCGAGGCTCTGTCCAACCTGGCCTTGAACACCGCCGGGGTTGGAGCATTCACAACCACCTTCAGTAGCTGCTGATAGTAATCCGGGTGCACCAGATTGAGAGGTGCTCTCATCCTCAGAACTTTCCCTCAAGAGCTTCTTGTCTTCTGCTGCAGTTCCAAAGTGAACATCTCCCCATTGACTCTTGTCTTCTGAGGCTGGATATGACATGGGGACACTGAGCCCTGGCTCTTGAGAAATACTGAGTGCTAGTATGTATCACAGTTGGCAATATAAGCTGCTTGACACTATGGATATATCTTGGATTCGGGTGCTAGAGGATGCTGTGGACAGAGTCCTTTGCAGGATGCCCCAAAAGCTGCTACAGAGGGACATCCCTATTAGGATTCTCATACTGTGGAAAAAAATACCATTTAGAGAAGGGTTTTGTAGTAAAGAATGATGAGAAAGAAAGGGAAATATGCCAGAGAAGCAAGCTGACTGGCTGGCTTAGTCTTCTGCATAGAGGACTGTTGACCTTTTATGCTCTATTCTAGTGTCTTTTTTGTTTAACTGTGTGAATGCAGTTTTAAAAGATGAAAATGATGAGGTTTCTGCCACTTCTGGGCAAGGCTGTAAGTACATGTAATATAGATGAAGCTATTAGTCATAGATGGTTTTTCTTTTGTGCTTTCCATCGCATTACTCCTAATTAGACTTCAGGTACCCCTTTCTCTGCATTTTCATATTAGGTCTTTAAAATTGTACCACCATTTGCAAGCAAAGTGTCTTTTAGTGCCTACATAATGTTCTGACTCTTGATTATCCTGCAGCTTGCTATGATGTAGGCTTCCTCACCCTTTGCTGTATCAGGGTTTATAGAAACAGGTCTGTATCTATAGACGTAGTTACATGTAACATGATAGACAGCAATGCAACCCCTAACTCATCCATCCCACAGAAACTTACCTATTGTAGGTAAATATTCCCCGTTTCTCCGGAGGAGTTGGGAATTTCAGTTTTCCCCTATAGTGCAATGTCCTGGTCTCCCAGTTGTTTCGAACATCTGGTGCCAGTGTTCAGGCTTTCAGATGTATTTGCAGTCATCCTCTTGGGCTTGTTTATGGGCAGCCAAGATATTTTCCACTTTTTATCTTGTGATTTTAGTGAAAGCTGAACATAAGTAAACACGCAGCTGGCAAACCTCTCATTGGTTTAGCCATATCATTGCTTTGTGGTTTGTGAACTGTTGCTCTTGTTGCTGTTTGGGTCCCAAGTAAGCAAAGTGCATTTGTAAGTGTCTGAGCTTTGCCAGACCTTCAGAGCGTGACATGGGACAACCCAGCATCAGGTTCCTGAAGTCTTCCCTCTGGACTAAGAGGAGCAGAGGCATGCCATCTACTGTTGATATTTTATATGACACCCGCAGTCCCAGCAGTGGGCACTGGGACAGTTTATATAATACATTATTGGTCTCAGGTTTTGTGCTTTCTTTTGGGGATGGAGCAGCAGCCTTGTTCCTATTCAGCCATGTCCTGGATGAAAAGCTTACACCATACTTTTTCTGCCATGCTTTCTCAGTTTTGCTTTGGTCAAATGGATGTGTGCTTTCTTTTCCAGATGGAGACTGACGTAGAAAAAGACATATATATCTGTAGGAAAGACATGGATTACCACAGTACATTTCTCATGCACTTTAAAGGAGAAAGCTCTCTAAGAATAAATGTGGGGTTTGAAACTGGAATATCTCATGTTCTGACTCTTATTCTTTGGGTGGCAAAGTATTTCACCTCTCCCTCACCTCTTGCTGATCATAAAACAGATGTAAGAATAAGTGCTGACCTACTTATCCCATAGGAACACTGAGGAGTGGCTCAGCTGAGTTTCAGGAAACCTTCTTAGCCACAGGTCTCTCGTGTGACCTTAGGCAAATCATTTAAGCTTTCTGTGATTCTGTTTACTAGCCAAAAAGTCTGTGGACCTTGGAAGGATGTTGCTGGGATGGGAACACGTTAGCAGTATGTGCTGCTCAGCCATGTCTGTGCATTAGGGGCTATATATATCTAATGAAAAGGAGAGAAGCAAACTCTTTTGGTTTTATTAGTTGTCTGTACTAACCAAACTAATGAAGAAAACCTCAACAGCATTGATTCTCTCAGTTGAATACACAGTAGAAGACAGATTCTTGCTGACAGCTCATGCATCCTTTTTCTCTGCTGTGCACAGATTAGAGGATGTTCAGAGTCTGCAAGTGCTGAGGAATCTTACTTGAGAGCAATGAGCAATAGTGCTCTCATTATTTCTACAAATACAGCCACCAAAACAACACCCCTTACATTTAAGAGGAGTACTGCCAGGATGGGAGAGTTTAATAGATACACATACGGGTGAGAAAAGTACAAGTGATGAATATTTACCATGGATTGATATGGGAGATAATGTGATAGAAAGCGGTGAAAGTCAGCATAGTAAGGTGCCTGCACAAGGACACCACTGAAGTGACCTGTGTAAATTCATGATGCTGTTTGATGTTTGAGTCCTCAGTTGTACCAAGCCAGTCTTGCTGTGCACTAATACAGTGTGGATTGTCATGCTATTAGAGCTGCTGCCTAACATCAGGCACGTACACACAACAGTATGCGTCAAAGATTTCCTCCTATATGTGTTAGTTCCCTTCTCTCACTGAACACAGACACAGGCAGCTTTAAACTGTGCATTTGGTTATTCTGCATGTGCTAAAATATTTTATATTAAGTAGCCACTAGATAAAATACTGAAAGAGTCCTTGGAAACAAGGACCAGAACTCAAGTCTCGAGCCTCTTTCTTAGTGAGTGCTGTAGATCACAGTAACTGGAGCTATGTTCCCTCTTGTGTGCTCTCCCTCTATCCCAGTAAATCTTTAAGATCTTTCTCTGTAGTGGCACAATTTCAGCAG